GAAACCCAGCTTGCCATCTTTGTTCATGACCTTCATGCCAACCTTGACATTAACAAAAAAACCGATTCTATGTTCCTTGATTTTGCAAAAGCCTTTGATAAAGTACCCCACAAACGCTTAATATTAAAACTGTCTTCGTTAAACTTGCACCCATATGTACTTAACTGGATAAAAGAATTCCTCACTAACCACTAACCGCATGCAATCAGTGTATACAAATCATAGTTTGTCTGTCCCTCTTCCAGTAACATTGGGTGTACCACAGGGCTCTGCCCTTGGTCCTCTTTTATTTCTAATTTACATTAATGACCTTCCGATGCACCTATCTTCAAATTGCCGCATGTTTGCTGACGACTGTGTCATTTATCGTACTGTCACTGACCCTCCTGACCAAATGTTATTACTAGAAGACCTCAACCATATCCTACAGAGGTGTGATGACTGGCTAATGACCTTAAACCTTACTAAATGCAAACTAATCTCATTCACATGCCGTCTAAACCCTCTTCGCTTTTCTTATAACATAGCTAACGTCCCTGTCGAATCAGTAACCACTTACAAATACTTTGGAGTCACTCTATCCTACAATTTGTCATGGAACACTCACATTATTAAAATCGTATCAACGTCTAACAGAGCCCTGGGCTTCTTAAAACGCCACTTACGCAGCGCTTCGTGTCATGTAAAACTACTTGCTTATACATCATTAGTTAGATCTAAGTTAAAATACGCACCTCCCATTTGGAACCTGCCTGAAGTTGGTCTTACAAATTCCCTTGAATCCATTCAAAATCGTGCAGCTAGATTTATTCATGCTTCGAACTCATACAACATCAGTGTTTCATCCCTCAAATCCGCGTGTAACTTATCCCCTTTATCATGTCGCCGACGCATCGCAACCCTCTCATTATTTCACAAGTTTTTTTCACTCTCCACTTAACCGCCCTCTTTACATTTTCATTTCATTTCATTTATTTACTCTCAAGGCCGAAGCATTACAGAGAGGAGCGGGTATACATCGTACAGAAAATCAGGAAATACAGCAAATCAAAATTATATGCGCACAATGGCGATCTGAAAACCATAAAAGAAAAGAAAAACTGCGTGATGTGAAGAAGAGGCAGGGTGGTTGTAACAACAATGTTCAACATGGTTGCGTCTTTGAATGACACGCGCACACAAAAAACTAACAAGAGAAAACACAGCGTGACTTAAGTGGCGAATTTACGCGAAATGGTTAGAGAGGGCATTTTTAAACAGAGTGAGGTCAGTGATAGCAGCGATAGGGGCGGGAAGGTGGTTCCACTCATTTGCAGTTTTCGGGATGAATGATTCAAAATATAAATTCGTGCGGGCGCTAGGAACGCCCACTTTAAACTGATGATCGTTGCGTGAGGAAACGTACGATGGGGGCTGGAAAAGAGTGTTGCTAAAAGACGGAATACAATGAAAGATCTTATGGAACAGGCAGAGGTGAGATATTTTACGCCGCAGTGAGAGAGTGGGTAAGTGAAGATTGGCTTTCATCGAGGTAACACTGGACGTGCGATGGTAGTTGGACATGACAAAACGTGCCGAGCGATTTTGAACCGCCTCGATGCTGTCAGCGAGGTAATTGGTATGTGGATCCCAGACTGATGACGCGTACTCGAGTTTGGGTCGGACTAATGTTTGATAAAGCAGAAGTTTAAGGTTAGTCGGAGCCAAAGAAAAGTTTCTGCGCAGATAACCTAACGTGCGATTCGCATTGTTTGTAATATAATCGACATGCGTGTTCCAAGAAAGATTGTTAGAAATATATACTCCTAGGTACTTGTAGGACGAAACCAGATCGAGATTGCTGTGGTTAAGTGTGTAGTCGCACGGTACATTATGAGAAATACAACGGGAAATTCGCATAGCCTTGCATTTAGTAACGTTTAGCTTCATTAACCATGCGTCGCACCATGATGAAATGTGATCCAGGTCTGTTTGAAGGACAAGATTATCTGCGATAGTCCGGATTTCACGGTAAATTACACAGTCATCGGCAAATAGTTTGATGGATGATGAGATGTCTTTAGGTAAGTCGTTGATGTAGATAAGAAATACTAGGGGACCAAGAACTGAACCTTGCGGAACGCCGGACGTTACTGGGCTAGTCGGGGAACAATGGTCGTTAGCAGTTACAAACTGGGTGCGGTTAGATAAGAAACATTCAATCCACTTTAAGACGTTAGCATCAATATTTAGCGCGTTTAGTTTCAGAAGAAGTAACTTGTGGCAGACGGTATCAAAGGCTTTTGAAAAATCTATGAAGACACAATCAACAGTAGATGAACGATCAGCAGCAGAGAATAAATCGTTAGTGAAGGCCAGAAGCTGTGTCTCACATGAATAATATTTCCTAAACCCGTGTTGGTGAATGCTAAAGAAGGCGTTACTTTCAAGATAACTCACGACGTGGGTGTAAATTACATGTTCGAGAAGTTTGCATGGTACACTGGTTAGTGAAATGGGCGATAGTTCCCGGGACTATGAGCGTTTCCTGATTTAAACAAGGGAACCACCTTCCCCACCTTCCAGTCCTCTGGGAGAACACCTTCTTCTAATGACTGATCAAAAAGTCTCGACAGAATAATTGAGGAATGAACGTCAGTGTTTTTCAAAAATTTAGAAGAAATGTTATCGACGCCTGGTGACGACGAAATTTTTAAGTTTTGGATCAACTTGCGTATGCCGGCCCGGTCAACGTGTACAGAATTCATCACAATGAAATCGCGAGCTTGAACACCTGGAAGGACGGCAGGAGTAGTGTTCGTAAAGAATGAAGAAAATGCATGGTTAAGGGTGATACAAACGTTCTCACTGGAAATTACTTCGTCCGTGTCAGTGGTAAGTTCAATCTGTTTCCTATCGCCCCCATTAACGACCTGCCAAAATTTGTGGGGATTGTTTTGCAGAATTAACGGTAGCGTTTGCTGAAGAAAGGACTCCTTTGCCGCGGATAAAGCACGCCCGTATTCATCGGCTACCTTTTTGTAAACCTCCCATCTTTCAGATAAATTAGAACGCTTGGCTTGGCGGTAAACGCGCTTCTTTTTATTGGACAGGCGTTTCAATGTTGGCGTGAACCACGGTGATTGACTGTTACATGCGATTTCGCGTAGTGGTATGTGCTTGTTAACGAGTTCGGTAACTTTATTTTTAAACAGCATCCAGTTATCGTTGACAGATTTTTGGTTGAAGTCTTCTAGAAAAACGGAGGTGAAATGTTCAAGTTCGGTATTAATGGTTCCATAATCAGCTCTACTGTAGTCCCTGAATCGCTTTTTACTTTTTTGTTTACGGGGCGATGCGCAGGGGAGGTTGAAAACGATTGCTTCGTGATCACTGAGGCCTGGCAAAACAGAAAGCGATTGCACGAGATCGGGGTGAGAAGTCAGAACTAAGTCTAAAGTTGAAGCACTTGAATGTGTAATGCGAGTTGGGCACATAACCAGCTGCGTTAAATTGAATTGCGCGCATGTGTTAAAGAAGCAGGCGCTTTCAGAGGAGCCAGAGCCAGGCGATAAATGGGAGTTGTTCCACGAAATATCAGGAAAGTTAAAATCACCTAGGATTAAAAATGGTGTGGCAGGGAACCTCACGTGCAAGTCACTCAAGACGTCATGAAAATCATTGGAAAAACCAGATGGCGCATTCGGAGGGCGATAGCAGGCACAAACAATGACATCTTTGTGACTTATGCGGATTCGAACGCACACCAATTCAAGGGAACATACAATGGGAATTTTAAAAGACATGAATTCCTCTGAAACAGCGATCAAGACACCGCCACCAGAACGCGAGCCACGGTCACACCTAAAAAAGGAAAATTTTTTGTCGCACTGCAGGATCTCACGGTTTTCAACTTTTGACGACAGCCAGGTTTCGGTCAAAACTATCACATCGGAAAGGCACGTGTTTACTAACGAAGACAAGGCATCACGCTTGTTGATAACACTTCTGATGTTACAAAGCAAAAAACAACAGTCAGGGTTAGAGGTATTACAACTTGTGTTAGCATCTAGCTACAGTGGAGAAGATGGGCCTCTGATGACAGGATCGTTGCGATTAGGAGGATTTGAGGGGACACGCGAGTCCGTTTCTATTTCGCACACACGATCTGAAGATGCGCAGTAGGTGTATATTTTATTGCCAATGACCACTTTATTGTATTTAAGAGAAAATTTGTGACCAGTTGACTTGGCGAAGTCGATTAGTTTTTTCCGGGTGGCGCGTGTAGCCTTGCAGAAATCCTCACAGATTGATGTATTTGTGTCACGAAACTTAGACTTCTGGGACAAAACACTATCTTTAGTTTTGGAAGAAGCGAAACGTGCTATCACGGGCCTAGTTTTATGCCGCGAAAACGTTCCTAGCCTGTGAGCACGCACGATAGCATCGTCAGGTAGCTGCAAGTTTAACGTAGAGGTAAGGATCAAGCGGACCTTTTCTTCAGAATCGGCCCAAGTTTCTGACGCTGAATCTTCGATTCCGTAGAAAATCAGGTTCTCGCGACGAGACCTATCCTCGAACTCATCCAGACGCGCTCGGAGCAAAGCCTGTTCACTTCGAACGGCGGTGGCTATCATTTTCTGCACGTGAGAGCCGTCTGAAAATTCTTCAAACGAATCGACTCGTTTTTCTAGATCAGTTAGCCGAGTGGTCAAATCTAACACTTTGGACTCAAGTAACTTTTGGTTTTCTTTCACTTCGTCTATGGATTTAATGAGGGTGTCATGCCGTTGGTCAAGGTGTTTTGTTAAATCTTGAATAGCCAGAAGAACGTCACTGCTCTGTTTGCTAGGGTCTTGTTTCGGGGGACCAGGGTTGAGCTCGACGTCACCGCTGACCAACAACATTTTAGCAACAAAAACACACTCCACAACGGTGCAGGCAAGAACACTTGGGCATGGGAACAGCAGCAGAAAGAGGTTGTTTGAGCGTTTAGAAAAAAGGGGCGGGGCGGGACCAACCTGAACAAAAAGACAAAGGGGGTTGTCAGCCGCCGGCATCACTGCTGCGATCCAATGCCCACTGAAGGGCGAAGGGTTCCGCCAGCCGGTTATATGGTCCGTCTGCCTTGATGACGATGTCACACTGGCTTCTTCTGCGAAGTAGGGTTTCAATGTTGCGTAAGGCGGCAAACCATGGTCGACGCAAGGTGACGAGTCAAACAAGGGACATGCGTCGATCTCAGGAGGCAGTCGCAGTCGATCCGCGCAGGCAGCAGGGCACGTTCCAAGGATTGCAGCCAGCTGAACAAAAAGACAAAGGGGGTTGTCAGCCGCCGGCATCACTGCTGCGATCCAATGCCCACTGAAGGGCGAAGGGTTCCGCCAGCCGGTTATATGGTCCGTCTGCCTTGATGACGATGTCACACTGGCTTCTTCTGCGAAGTAGGGTTTCAATGTTGCGTAAGGCGGCAAACCATGGTCGACGCAAGGTGACGAGTCAAACAAGGGACATGCGTCGATCTCAGGAGGCAGTCGCAGTCGATCCGCGCAGGCAGCAGGGCACGTTCCAAGGATTGCAGCCAGCTGAACAAAAAGACAAAGGGGGTTGTCAGCCGCCGGCATCACTGCTGCGATCCAATGCCCACTGAAGGGCGAAGGGTTCCGCCAGCCGGTTATGTGGTCCGTCTGCCTTGATGACGATGTCACACTGGCTTCTTCTGCGAAGTAGGGTTTCAATGTTGCGTAAGGCGGCAAACCATGGTCGACGCAAGGTGACGAGTCAAACAAGGGACATGCGTCGATCTCAGGAGGCAGTCGCAGTCGATCCGCGCAGGCAGCAGGGCACGTTCCAAGGATTGCAGCCAGCTGAACAAAAAGACAAAGGGGGTTGTCAGCCGCCGGCATCACTGCTGCGATCCAATGCCCACTCAATTATCCCTGCAGCTCACATATCTCATTGCACCAGCCATGCGCTTCAAGTTTTTCGCCCGCGTGCCCATACTAAAACATGTTCTGCTACTTTTTTTCCCAGAGCAGCAAAAGACTGGAATGGCCTTTCCCACGATATGGCCACAATCACCTCTCTATCAAGCTTCATGCATAATATTTCAAATGTAACTTCACATTTATCATTGTGACAAAAATATCGATTGTATGTTACCCACCCCTTATGTAATACCCTCTCGGGGGTCTTTAAGGAAATAAAAATGAAATGAAATGAAATAAAATGTACTTATGATGTGAAGACGTCAACATTGGCTGAGTCATGCGAACTCACAAGTAGACTACATTCATTAATAAAACTTTCAAGTTAAATTTACCGCATCCGAGGTGTTCCCGATAATTGGAGGACCTTTGTCTAATCTAATATCTGAATATCGCCTCTCAGTGGTTAGTCTGTGCAGAGCTTTACACTGCCTTAAATGAAGTGGGCAGAACAAACGTACGCCCTCATTGCAGGAATCCCATTTTTCTGCATGATCGCTGCAGTGCAGGCGTTGCAGTGCAGGCATTATTTCTATCTCCATCAGTTGAAAAACAGAACGCTTTACCTAGCATATAAAATTACTTCAGGCTTGCAGACTGCATTGTGGCATGACACAGCTGTGCCCCAGTTGCGAACACCTCATTGCAGCAATTTCATCAGCATAAAACATCGAAACACAAGCAGCTACGGCTAGGAATAAAGGCCAAAACCACCCAAAAACAAGCTAAGCAGCAAGTTTCCAAAGGCGCGATTCCAGTGAATGAACAATGTTGCCAGAGACCAGCAAGCGCTTGTGAAACAGTCTGTATTGATGGCCAGACCATCATCATCATCATTGCCAGCTTTTTCTTTTTTTTTTGAAAGAGAAAGGGGGAGGGGGGGGGCAAGAAATATGACAGCAGCTGTTAAAGTGCATTGTGGCAATAGTTTTGAAAAATTTAGGTGTACTACAAATGCATTTGAGTAGTTCTTTAATGCAGTTATTATTACAAAAGTTAATGATTGGGCACTCGTTGTAAAAATTTAGTTAATGAGGGAGTATGATAAAAAAGTCTTTGGTAGTTGCAAGTTACAAAATGCATTGACTTTTGTGTGCTCCAAAAATATTTCGTTGAGGTGAGAATTTAGTTCCCTCAAGATTTCGTTATTGCGGGTTTCAACTGTAATGCAAACATTACCAAGGATGTTTTCACAATTACAACATCATCAAACGAATGTGGCCTTTCTTCCATTGATGTAGTTTGCGAAGATGTAAGCGCACTATATTTAGCTGTTTTTGAAACAAAGGTCCAAGTACCCTGGTGCATGCAATGTTATATTATTCAGTTCACACATTCACAGTAGCCTAGACTGCCAATCAATAGCATATACTAAGCATTTTGAAGAGTGTTGCTGAGCATTTTTAGGAAGCTAAACTTCAAACATCGCATTTGTTCAATGTGTAAAAGCACACACACCTTCTCTACAAAGACAAAAGGCCACAGAGTTCCTTCCGAGGTGGATAGCTCCAACGCAGGTAGCTGCAGTGGCTGGTCCACCTGTTTCCGCCATGACCGCAGCTGGTGGAGAAACATTTTGTAAACACATACACTTTCACTGTGTTGCACACATGGATGAGACTACATTGACGTGCATATACTCCCAGGTCACATAAGTATTTCAAATTACGCTACTGCTATTAAAAAATGCAGTTGAAAACAAATAGAACGCGTCACTGAGCCAGTTGGTGCATTGTCTAAAAATAAAACTAGAACGGGAAAAAGACAAGACACGGGAGACAAATCAATAGAAATGGGCGCTCACTACCAACTAAATTTTATTATGAAAGAACTGTGGGAAATAAGTAAATCATGTGTCCCAAACGTGGCGACGCGCACATTTCAGAGTTGATCATATCAAAACTGAAGTATATTTTGACATTGCTATTGAAAATAACACTCCTACAAACACACTGACGTCTTACTGACGCAATCTTTACCTTTTGATTTTATGTAGAATGCCTCTAACAGTTCTCGTGCAAACGTTTCCTCACTGCGTCTCAGCACCTACAGTCTAGCAAACAAAGGCACACAGCCACACACTGCACAGTGAGCAGAAAAATGTGTGCCCTTATCGTTTGAGAATGACAGCTCATGCTCATAGACCCGCTGGTTTACACACCCGCCTATTTGGCCAATGTATGATTTACCACAGCTAAATGGCAATTCATGTACTACTCCCACCGCACAGTCCACGTAACGCCTATTATGCTTGGTTCCACAATTTGTCTTCTTTTTAACCTTGCCAGGGATTAGCGCACACAGCTTGGACAGCTTGCACGGCGCTGAAAAGATGACTGGCACATTGTGCTTAGGCGCAATTTTCTTGAGGTTATGCGCTACTTTGTGGATGTAGGGGATCCCTCAGAGCTCGTGTCGTTTGCATGCGTGTGTCTTCTTTTTTTTCCAACCCTGGAACTTCACTTTCTCCAGCAACGACTTGGCCACCAGGACAGCATCAGAATGTCCTAAACACCGCAGCCATTGCACTTGCTGATGAAATCTGTCGGGGGCTGCAAGAACGCATGACTTATGGAGAGCGGATTTTGCACTCATGGAAGCGATTGCACGCTACACAGTCTTTGAATGAGCCAAATCAAACGGCAGCAACGGTTTGCAAGAGCGTGGAATATCAAGCCCAACATACATGTGAGTGAAAAATCGTAAGCTTCACATCTAAAAACTGCAACTGCCCTTTTTGTGTAAATGACAACTCCTGCCCCAACAAATTAAAATATTCTAAGATCTCATGCACATCGCCGCTAAAGGCACTAAGATCAACACCGATACCCTCCTGCTTTCTAAGAACCACTAAAATCATCAACATATCCACTCACAGCAAGCACCTTGTCACTATTAAAAGCATTCTTCAAACGCGTTTCCAAGGCCAAGAGAAAGATTTTGTAAAAGACCGGTGCTGTGCACGAACCAATGAATACCCCATGTTTTTTTTTCTCAGCCCTGTTTTGAAACAGTACTTCCCCATTTCTTTCAATGCATTCCTTCACCACAATGATGAAGAGTTCTTTATGTGGTATACTGTAAAACAAATCCTCTACATTGACAGAAAAGAAGTACCCGACAAAATTATTGTTGTGCACAGATCTATCACTTAGAGCAAATTTTTCGTTCCAAAAGGATCCTCAATGTCTAAGCTATGCTTGAATGCCTCATCAGGCATCTGCTTAGATGCTGCTACCAGGATCCTTTCTCGCTCACAACGGCTCTAAACGGCACACCCTCTTTATGTGTGCTTGTCGTGAAAAATATAGACAAACAATTATCTTTGCTTCGAGAAATAGACTTTTCCAAACTTTTCAGCTCAAGCTGGTGGCACCTAGCTACAGCTTCTTCACACTGGCTTTCACAGAAACAATATTCTTGGAAATGATCGAGGCAGCTTTTTGTTTGATGCAGTCCAATGACATTACAACAAGCATTCCTTCCTTGTCAGCTTGAAGCAAACACACACTGTTTCCTCTGAAGAACTATACAAGTGGAGCTGTAGAAACACTACGTCGCTGAAACATTACGTCGCATTACGTCGCTGAGGCTTCTCTAGTTTAAGCTAAAAAGTTGTCTACACTCTCCTGTAGGCACCTTTCCTTCTGCTCTTTTTCTGCCTTGTTAGCCACTCTTCTATTAATAGCGAGAAGGTCATGTGTGGGAACATGCGGTTCGAGGCAAAACTCGAGTCCCATTTTCAAAACGCTGTTAATCTTGACTGGGACCTCTTTATACCCAATCAATACCGCATCTTGGTGGGCGTCTGGCTTTCAATTATGTCACTTCGGCAAATGTGCCAGAGTACTGTGCCACAGGAACTCGGTGCTTTGGGCTGCTTGTTTTTGCCAAGGCTGCAGGAGATATTTACCAATCAGGCCCCCGCAGCAGGCCACCTGGAGCAGGTCGGTGAACATCCTCAGCTGCATTCCAGCCTCCGAACGGATATCCCATACAGACTATTCCGATCCGAAACAATTATCCACTGCCACTTGTGGCTTGGAGTGTCCTTCTCAAGAAGTTTTTCTAACCGGATCGAGATGACTGACAACGCTACGTGTGATCACTGTGGCGACTGTCCTTATTATAGCTCCCAAAGACAACAGCTTTCGGCAATGTACCACAGCTCGACGACTGGCTGCTTTCGAAGCAGTCAATTTTGGAGCATCACAACGTTCGACCTTCAAGCCAGAAAGCGACGAAGGCGCAGCTGAAGTTCCTGAAGTCAACCGGACTCGCTAAATGACTCACATTCCTGTGCTTGAGTGTGAGCGCATTTTGAGTGCGTGCAACACTATACACCGATATACACCAAGAGATATACCCCCGCGCATTGCGCCACCTTACATATAAATAGCCGCATGCCCATGCTGGCATCTTCATTGTGATCAAGGGTCCCGTATGAGGCCAAAACGTCAATGTCTGTTTGCTTTCATTTTTACCTTGGCGAGTGTAAGTGTTCCCTCACCAGACGATGGTTCGTCAGGTGCTCGATTATATCAGTCTTGAGAGAAGCATTGGTTTGCTGTTATAACCCACATTCGTCAGTTTGTCAGCTTAAAAACGAGATTTGCTTCGTTTAAGTGTCACTCACAATTTAACTACCTAGCACTGCAAGATCCCATCCCGAAATCCCTGCGGCTGCCAGTTCTTGTAAAGATTGCCACAGGAAAACAGACTATTGCCCAAGCAGAACGCCGCCTACTGCAAGCCCGTATTTTGAAAACGAAGGCAACAATCAAATGCCTCGAGAACGACATTTTCTTCGCCCAGCGCCGACTTTAGCACCGCCGTCCTATCGAGTTTCATGGCATCCTTCCTTACGCCAACAGCCCAGCTACTGCTACTCGTCATAAGAGGTTTGCCTTCCAGGATTCGAAGTTCTGCCTTCTCTTGGAAACGAATTTCCGTATTTCGACTTCGCTGGGCGTTCGAAACGTCTCTTTGTACAAACTTGATGGGGCAAAGGAAAGGCTCCTCAGTCGCGGCCTTAATTACAATATCGGAGCACGACCAAACATTGAACGGTTGACATGTGCGATTGAACAAGCAGTGCTTTTTGTTGAGCGATGTCTTGACGAGGCTCACTCACGGGCTATTGGGATCGTCTCAAAGGCCACCTCCCCCCCTCCCCTCAATGCGGAAAAACGCTACGCCGCTACCGGCAGCAGAAAGAAGTGCGTTAAAATGACTAAAAGACAGTGAGAACATAGCCATCCTTCCCGCAGACAAGGAAAATGCCACTGTAATCTTGGACCGCGCCGAATACTTCAACAAAGTGAACAGACTTCTCAAAGACACATTGACATATTCACAGTTAACGAGGGATCCCAAAAAAAAAGTGGAATCTGAACTACAAAAGTTGCTCGTTGAAGTATTCCAGTTTGTTTCGCCCGAAAACATGAGCCTGTACTACAAGCTGCTCTGCCACAATGGTTCGGCCTCGGCCTTGTACCGGCTCCCCAAAATTCACAAGCCCAACATTGCAGTACGGCCAATTCTGGACTACACATGCCCACCACAGTGCGAACTCTCGCGTTACCTGCACCGTATCCCGCGACCCCTAGCAAAGCTCACCGAAAGTTTCATCAAGGACTCAGTTCATTTCATCGAGCAATTAAGAGATGTGCGCCTTGATGACGATGAGGTCATGGTATCCTATAACGTGAACTCAATGTTTACCTGTGTGCCCATTGACTATCCTGTGGAATTCTGCAAGAAACTTCTTGAAATGAACTCTTCTTTACCTCAACGTATGCCTTTTAAAGGAGGACGTCTGCCGCCTTCGGAAATTTTGTCTTGACAACACATACTTCGTGTTGAACAAACAATATTTCAAGCAGGTGTTCGGCACAGCAATAGACGCATCCGTGTCCGTCGTTTGACCCAACATGGCACTAGAGGATCTGGAATGTGCTGCTCTTTCCTCATTTGCGACGCGACCAAGGTTTTTTCTAAGATACATGGACGACTGCTTCTGTATTATCCGTCACCAACACAGAGCACAGTTTCTCCAGCACCTGAACTCTTTCAAGGCAAGCATACAATTCACGGTGGAAGAAGAAATCAATGGACAAATTCTTTTTCTTGACGTCCTTGTGGAGAGAACCTCCAATGGTTTAAAAACAAGCGTGTACAAAAAACGAACGCGCACGGGAAGGTACCTCAGCTTCGACTCAGCACACCCCATCAGAACAAGGAGATCCGTTATTGCCGCGCTTTATTCCCGGGTGTGATGGTTAAGGACGTTCGTCACTGTGTTTGTTGATAGCGGGCGAAATAGGATTAACATCAACAATGGATGCGAACAAAAGAAGCGTTATATTGTACACTAGAGAACGAAGTGGCAGGTGAAAATAAAACTATATGTCCAACCCTACACGCCAAGCGTCACGCAACATGTACGAGAGTCAGACCTCTAGCATGCGGAGAGCTCGCGGCTACGCTTACTCCGAGTCCAGCGCGTAGAGTTCTCAGTTCGCAAGAGGAAAACGCTGCCTCACAGTTTGGGTCCCCGT